AGGAATCTACGTTTCTGTTTTTCATAATGAGGATAGAGAGAAAACTTTCTCTCTGGCAATAGGCAATAAAAAACAAATTGGATGTGTTGATGTATTCTCTTTCAAAGGAATGAAGGATCCATTCTCTGTGTGTAAGGTAATTCTTGAGCCATCAATGGGGGAACCTGTGATTCTCCAAATATTGCTCAACTATAAGTCCTTACAACCCTCACCATTGGCCTTGCTGGCTGAGGTTGCTGGGTGTTAAAATTACCAATCCTGCATCAACCCAACTTTCCCTCATCTGTAGCCTATTATTGTTTGTTTGTTTATAAATCAAATTTGTATGCCGTCTATCTCACTATACAAGTGAATCTAGGTAGCTGACACATAAAAAGCATGAAAACAGTTAAAAACACAAAACAAAGTTAAAAAGACTGCAAATGAAGTTTAAAAGCAGAGAGAGCATCCTCAGGGCACTAACCATTCCCAGTGTCAGGAGTCCCCATTGGATCCCCAAGCTAGTTGGCAGAGCCAGGTCTTAAGGCTCTTCTGGAAAGCCAAAAGAGTGGGGGCCAATCTCACCTTGGGGGGCAAGATATTCCACAGGGCAGGGCCAACAGCAGAAAAGGCTCTCCTCCTAGACCCCCCCAGACAAAATTCTCTAGCTGCAACATGCCCTTCCTGCTGGACTGGGTGGGATAGGTCGATGTAACTGGGACGAGACGGTTCCTCAGGTAACCTAGGCCCATGCCATGAAGGTCTTTTAAGATCATAACCAACACTTGGAATTGTACCCAGAAGCAGACCAGCACCCAATGCAGCTCAGACAGCAGAGGTGTTATATGTGCAGCCCTGGGGGCACCCAAAACTGTTCACGCCACCGCATTCTGTATCAGCTGCAGCTTCCGGATACTTTTCAAGGGCATTTTATGGTTGTCTTTTGGAAGGACTAAACTGATTGCCAGTAAGAACACATTCTAAGACTTGAACTGCTATTGGTTCATAGAGAATTCTTAGTGACCATTCAGATCTCATGATTCCTGCCTATTAGTAAAGGTTTAGTACACAGCTAAGCAGCCCTTCTTATTTTTGTATTAATTTTAAGTTCTTATTAGAATGATCACTTTGTTTCTTTAACAAAAACAAATCCTAAATACAATAGGAACTAGCTGAGCCCATACAGTGGAAGGCTGGATATTTCAAATTTTCTCTCCCAGAAATAATACAGGTCTTCACATTGTGGCCCAACATCTTGCTTTCAAGTAATTGCTAGGTAGTTCCTGCTGTCATCACCTAACTTCCAAAGGGCACAATACTATGCTTCTCCTAACCTTAGTGTATATATGAGAAACAGGACTTTAACACCCTGTGCTCCCTTCCTGGCAATTAAAAGGTAAGAGAACAACAGAACAGAACAGAACAGAACAGAACAGAACAGAA